CCGCTGTAACGGTGGTGGACTAATCAGAACAGAGTGGGCAAGCTGACCAATCAGAGCACAGTGGGCTCATAGGGAGGAGGGGGGCAGGAGCTCCAACAAGGCGTGTAGGATAGAGTGTGAGTACACATACTATACAGAGATGCTGTATGAGAAACCAATGTGAGTTTGGAACTTTGAACAATGTAAATATATTCTAGTAGACCTCAACAATGGAATGGAATTATGATTATGATCAGTAGAAATGGCCATGTCATGGGACCTTTAAGCCTTTTTTGTAACACAGCCAACCGCATCCACCATCTTTCCTCTATAATGAAATGCCTGTAAGGTGACAGATAAAGCCCCCTCTCATACTTGTCAGTCAGCGGCTTTGGTCCATGGAAACGTGCAGCGTGAATCCACAGTACATGACAGTTAAGTCAGGTTTGTTCTTATAACGGCAGACGAGAACCTAAGATTGAATCATATGTTTCTCGAAGTGCTCGTGTCACCGCGGTGAGATTACATAGTGGCCCATTCACCAACCCTGACACCGACTCACCACAAGTATCTGATACGGTTCATGATGCATTTGACATAAACATCCTGACAGTCTGCTTTAGAGGACTGTAAAAGGAAATGAGATTATGCAACCCTAAATGATGTAACCCTAACCTGACTCTTGGTATTTGCTTGTACTGGAATAACTGTCTACATGTAAAAACAAAATCCTACCTGAGCATCTGGCTAATCACAGTTAGTTTGTGTCTACTAAAGAGATGAACACAGCCAACAGAAGGGGCATTTTGGACATAATTGGACTGACAAACCGCTGCTAGTTTTGCTCAGGGTTTACTGATGAGCCTCCCAGCAGAGCTCTGCGGCTGTAAAGCTTCAGCAGCGCCCTCCAAAGTGATATCTTGCATTATTGTAAAACCCATATCTTTAATGTATTTACAGATCAGCAAAATCTTCATATTTATGATAAGCAAAAATATGAATCGCAATCAACAGCAGCATCGCCCGGTGTGTGAACCATTCCCCTCGCCTTGCCCTGCTGCCAGAAACACTGCTTCATTTTGACCCGATGTTCTTTTTCTACTTAGCACCACAAGAACAAGTACCAAGGTCAGGCTTTGTTGCAGCACAGAAAATGTTGAAGCAAGAGAAAGTGTGTGTTGGAGTTGAGGGTGCTGAGGCAAGGGTCATGGCTTGGTTTCATGGAATCTGTGCAAGCATGGCAAGGTCAACATGATGTCGTCCAGCTGGCACTAAACACAACATCAGAGGTGCTGTTTTTTTACCCCCCCCCCAATGTTGCACTGCTGATGTGGCTGCTAGCGCCTGGCCTCAGCCCCCTGTTGAAGCCCGATCAGACGGAGGAGGAGGAGGAGGAGGAGGAGGAGGAGGGAGGAGGAGGAGGAGGAGGAGGAGGAGGAGGAGGAGGAGGAGGAGGAGGAGGAGGAGGAGGAGGAGGAGGAGGAGGGGCTGTGTTGCCTGAAAGCACCCCAGTGCTCCCTAGTGTAGTGGTTCCCAAACGGTGTGCCGTGAGGCAAGTCCGGGTGTGCCGTGGGATTTTGTGACAACCATACGTTATTATGGCAATATACAACTACACAACATAATTATTTTTTAATTTACTATATCAGTACTTTGTAGGTTTATATGTACGTAATCTGCGTGACTTGCGTGTCCACATCTCCACGTGCAGTGCTGCATAAACATGGCTGAGTCAGCGATAACTTTCGAGGGGTGGAGGTATGCCCATTATTTTGAGTTCGTCCGAAGAATAAACAGGAATGTGACGGTGAGGTGCAAACTGTGTCCAGGCCAGAAGCTGTTATCCACTGCTGTAAACACCACGTCAAACCTCAACAAGCATCTGCAAAGAACACATGCTAAGGTGAAGCTACCGCACACGCTATTTGTTGTTTGTTTATATCACGTAGCCTGTTCTTCTTCTGGGCGACTGTGGCTGCGAGGGGGTGCTGTCCTCTTTTCAACCAGAAGGTTGTGGGTTCGATCCCAGCCCGTGCAGCCAACATGTCGATGTATCCTTGGGCAAGATACTTAACCCTGAGTTGCTCCCGATGGCATGGCCAACGGTGTGTGAATGTTAGGTCCTAGAGCAAGTGCTACTGCTCTGTATGAATGGGTGTGAATGGGTGAATGACATGTAGTATGTCAAGCGCTTTGAGGGTAACGCGTTACTTTATGTAGATAGTAACGAAGTAGTGTAATATATTACATTTTTTTAAAAAGTAATATGTAATATATTACATTTGTTTAGTAACGACCCCATCTCTGGAGTTGGCGTTCTCTACTCTGGTTTACATGAAGAACAACAGGAGGTCACGGCTCTCTGTTGAACAGGACTTGCGAGTGGCCCTCTCCTCAGTGCCACCAAGGATTACAAAATTCTGCGCGCCCCGACAGGAACATATATCTCACTAATTTGTTAGTCGGCAAAATATTTACAATAGCACATGTTTCAATGCTGATTGCTGAAATGTTACATTTATAATGTGTAGTTCAGGACCATGGACAATGCAGCTTCCTTGCATTGACAGTTCTCTGTGCTGAATTTCTGCTGAGTTTCCTTTGCCTCATTTTTAATGTTGTGACCTTTCTGGTTTAAATGAGTGTGTTGCTGCTTTGATGAAGCCTAATTTGATAAAGTTTCAAATTAATTTCTGAAATATTTCGTTAATAAATATTTCACGAGTAATATAGTTGTCTTTGTCACATTTTATTTGGCATTAGTAAATAATTATGCACATTTACAGATATTTTACATGATATGAGTGATAACACGTGTTATAAGGGCTATATTTTTGCACAATAGGTGTGCCTTGAGATTTTTACTTGTCCTTTGGTGTGCCTTGGGCACAAAAAGTTAGGGAACCACTGCCCTAGTGGACATGCGCACGAGTACACACACACACACACAACACAAAAGCGTGTACATAATATACACACTTGGGGCCTATACTACGAAGCTGGTTCAACCTAACCTGGATATGTTTGAGTTAGCCGGTTGGCCTAATCCAAAACATTCGCGCTCTCGCTAAACTGTACTACGACGCTGGTTATCAAGTGGATCGCTCAAACCAGCCGTTTCCTATCTAGTTAGGTGCGCGTTCACATGAAAGGGGGACTTTAATTACATTTGTCTCGAGTGTTTCGTCAACTTAATGTGTTGCTTAAAATAATACTTCTGCATACAGTATGTGACACTGTGAGTGCACGGCCAGATACGGCTCAGCTGACTCAGATAAGAAAATATATGATACATTATGAAGTGATATGCCGCGGACTGTACTTAATGGTACTCTGATCCGGTTACTTATGTTGTGTAACGCTAATGTTATAATAGTCAGATTGCTCTGAAGATGGGAGGTGATATTCTATTAATGTTCACGTTCACACAGTCGGTGATTTTTGCCGGCCGTCTTTCCTGCGACGGCAGCTTTTCTGTATTTCCTTTCTCCTGTAATATGACTTGATCGCTTTAAACTCCACACATTGAGCTCTGATTGGTCAGCAGGCAGTGCTTTCACTGAGTTGAGCTCTTAGCCTGCAACCTAACCTGGGGCCTATACTACGAATCTAGTTCAACCTAACCTGGATATGTTTGAGTTAGCCGGTTGGCCTAATCCAAAACATACGCGCTCTCGCTAAACTGTACTACGACGCGGGTTATCAAGTGGATCGCTCAAGCCAGCCGTTTCCTATCTAGTTAGGTGCGCGTTCACATGAAAGGGGTGGTATCTGGAGCATTCGACCAATCACAGACATGGAGAAGCGTACTGACAGCGCAGCGTCATACTTCCTGAATGAAAAGTGAACTTTAATACTAGTAAAAAATGAAGAAGTTAAACTTTAAACATCCATGACTTAAACACTTTATCCAGGATAAAAGCCACAGAGCTGCACCTGCAAGGTGAATACAGCTGGTAAAAGAAAAAGTGTTTGAATGCATACATTAACAGGTTTATGATATCACTGCCCCGTCTAAAACACGATCTGACTTTAATTACATTTGTCTCGAGTGTTTCGTCAACTTAATGTGTTGCTTAAAATAATACTTCTGCATACAGTATGTGACACTGTGAGTGTTGCACGGCCAGATACGGCTCAAGAAGCTGACTCAGATAAGGAAATATGATACATTATGAAGTGATATGCCGCGGACTGTACTTAATGTTACTCTGATCCGGTTACTTAGGCCTATGTTGTGGCAGATATTTAAGTAAGCTTTCTTAACGCTAATATTATAATAGTCAGATTGCTCTGAAGATGGAGGTGATATTCTATTAATGTCCACGTTCACACAGTCGGTGATTTTTGCCGGCCGTCTTTCCGTATTTCCTTTCTCCTGTAATATGACTTGATCGCTTTAAACTCCGCACACTGAGCTCTGATTGGTCAGCAGGCAGTGCTTTCACTGAGTTGAGCTCTTAGCCTGCAACCTAACCTGGTCCCGACCAGGTTAGCCGCTTAGCATAAGTTACCATGGAGATCTAGCCTGCTAAAAAGAGAACCAGCTTCGTAGGACCGGAAAGCCGGAGTTTTCCCTGAATTTAGCGGGCTAAGCGAAAATCCTGCTTCGTAGTATACCCCCCTGGTCCCGACCAGGTTAGCCACTAAGCATAAGTTACCATGGAGATCTCGCCTGCTAAAAAGAGAACCAGCTTCGTAGGACCGGAAAGCCGGAGTTTTCCCTGAATTTAGCAGGCTAAGCGAAAATCCTGCTTCGTAGTATACCCCCTTGGACACACATTGACATGAGCACACACACGGGGTTCTCTCTCGCATCCATGTTTACATTTTGTGACGACCCCTCCACATCACGTGGGGTGCCGTGTGTTTGTGTGTGTGTGTGGTTTTGTTCAGGTTGTTTCAGGTGCTGATGAGCCGCACCTGTGGGCGGATGCCTATCGGATGAGCTACACCTGGTGGAGCGGGATAAAGGAGGAGCCCAGCCGGTTGCGTCGCTCTCACTCCTCTGGGCACTTTCTCGGTGCCAGCCTCGGGGACCTGTGGCTGGTTCTGTCATTATATTGTTTATAAGAGAATAAACACTGGTTATTTTCTTACCCTTCGTCTCGCCTCCCTGCTTTTTGTTGCAGCCCAGGAGCCGGGTTGTAACAGAGGGGGCTCGTTGCTTTGGACCTAGGAAGCGTGTGCAACTGGATGTCCGTTGTGGGGACGGTTTTCGCGCAGCTGCTGTTGTCGCTGGGTGCGGCTGGTTGTTTTGGGAGTAGCGTTGCGGGGGTGAGTGTTTCGCAGTTCTAGTACACGGAGAGTGTATGGCAGCAAGTACGAGCACAGATCATTAGTTACCGTGGTATCTGTCCCTGTTAGGTCTAGTACGGTCTTCCTTGGAGGTCGTAGGGGGGGCTGTTAGTGCGGTGTGAAAGTGGTTAGAGCTATTAGCTCGGGAGCACACCGAGGCTGCGGGTGGAGCTGCCGGTTTGCTGGTCGCTTCGCCGAGCTTACGGTATTAAGTGCATAAGTACCCACCATAACTAGCACCTGAAGACTAGCGGGGAGTTTAGCTAGTTTCTGTAGGCAGTTAGAGGGACGGGCCACGGTAGCTGACAGGAGCACTCATTCAAGGGAAGTGACGAGCCGTCAGGGCCCTCTAGGCCCTCTGTGAGGGCCTAAGATATTCTAAAAAATAATATTTGAAAACATTTTTTTTTTTTTTTTTAATTTTAAATATTTTTTTGTCGTTACATTTTTCATTAGTTTTACCAAAATAACTTGATTTAATTGTATTTAAAATAATATTTCCAAAGAAATAAATCCTTCGAATCTGCCTGTTCAGTTTCTGTTGGAATGTGAAGGGTTAAATGCCGTCTCTGCGAGTTATGTGAAGACGGGAGAGCTTGTTGGTCCCTCTCTACATTCACAGAGGGCCAGCTATAGTAACTCAACGAGAGAGTAATGTCAAATGACAGTACAATTGACCAATCATATCTTCCCTCTAAATGGGCGGGCTTTATTTTCGCGGACTTTATGACAAGTTCCGCCCGCTGTGAGGTCTATGCAAGTGGTGAATTGACGCGTCCTAAAACCCGGAAGTAAGCTTCGCTCGGATTCCCTCTACAGAAAGCGGGTTTTGGAAAATAGCTGGAAATAAGGTCTGTGGAAAAGGAACCTGTTAGATAAATGCACGTTTTGTTCAGCCGGATAATATCCACATGTCTACCCTACTTTTATTATTTTCGAATCATAAATCTAATCGATAGATTTATGATCGATAGATTTATGATTAGAATAAGTTCGTTCATGATGATGGCTCACTTCAGTGATAGTAAGGACATCGTTGCGAAATTATTAACCTAGTCATTTTCAAGATTGAGTTACAATGATAAACTGGAGTGGCAAAGGATCAGCTGAATGACCCGCAAGTGCTTCATCCAAAAGGACAGACGGATGGACTTTGTGTTTCAGTGATTTGATCATCAAAGGTAGGCCTAAGTCATTTTCAATGCGGGCCGCCGTGCCGACTTAATTCATTTGTAATTGCTACTTGGCTGTGGGTGCCCTGTCATGATAGGTGTAGGTATAAATGATGTTTTGTGTGGTAGAGGGTCGCTGTCATTGATGCGTTTTGCACCCCGGACCGCTGTTTTGATATTCCGCTGAAGTCTACGTTGAGACGTAATATCTCTTCTTTTTTTTCCGAGGGAAGGGGGGGGGGAGTCAGAGGGCCTAGGTATAAAAGTCACGGCTCGCCACTGTTCAAGGGTACTATGACTATGCTTGCACGTCATAGTACCATAGCACCTCCAAGGCGCTAAAAAGAAAAATTCAAACATCGCAAAATAAACTGGTCAGACTACTGCTTGACCTTTCATCTAGAACCCACCTCACCTCTGCCCACTTTGACAACCTAGGATGGCTTAGAGTAGACGACAGAGTACAGCTACTTGCAATGGGCCTGGTCTACAAGATCCACTACACCTCTATGGTACCCATGTACATGTCAAAATTCTTCCCAAAGGTCAAGGAATACCATGATCATAACACCAGAGGGAGCTCCACAAATCATGTGAAACCCAGATTTGGCACAAAAAAGGGGGAATACACGTTTCGCAATTATGCCACATCAAGGTGGAACGCTCTTCCCACAACTGTAAAGGAAAGTAAAACTATACTTACCTTCAAAACCTCTCTTAAAGAGCACCTTCGGGGGAGAGCATTGCAAAACTGGCCCCGGTAATGGTACAAATCTCAACCTGTCGTTCAATGGACAGCTTCCCCCCCCCCCATCTATGTATATACTCGCATTTTAGACTCTGTTACTAACTGTATATCTGTAGACTTGGTATGTCTTAAATGTCCGGTTAGGATGTATTAGAACGAAATCTAAAATGAAAATTGTAAATAAGCAATCTGTATGTAAAAAACCACCTGTATGTAAATTGTAAATAAGCCATCTGTATGTCAAATATGTCTTATATGTCTTAAATGACATGATGAATTGGAAATGGGGGACCCTGATGTAAACAAGACGAAAGTCTTTCTCTGGTCTGCATCCCCTTAACAATTGTATGTTTTGAGCTGTACTGTACTGTACCCAATATACAAGCTGTTAATAAACTTTTCAATCAATCAAGCGTTTAGGCTGTGTAGTAGCGTGAGCGTGCACTCAGTGTTGCCATGATGGAGAGTGTGGAGGACTTTGTGAGAGCGCCTACAGAGGAGCTACTGGAGGGCTTCTCACGTGAGCAGCTGATCGGTGTTGCTGAACATTTCCGCTTGGATGTTGGGCATAAGAGGATGAAGGAAAACATAAGAGGGATTGTTAGAGCAAATCTGTTCGAGTTGGGTGTTTTCAAAGGGGGAAAATATACTGTTGATCCTAGCAGAGACAGTGGCAGTACGTCTGGCTGCCGTGATACAGACCTGACTTTTGAGCAAAGAAAGGAGCTGTTGCTGTTGCAGGTAGAAATTAAAAGGCTTGAGTTAGAGGAGCGGAGGTTGGGTTTACCTGCTGGGGCTGCAAGTCAGGCCTCTAATTTCCCTGGTAGAGCTACTCCATTTGACGTTGCCGGTAATCTGCGGGTTGTGCCTCAATTTAATGAACGAGATCCCGATACGTTTTTCTCCTTGTTTGAGCGTGTTGCTGAGAGCAGAGAGTGGTCAGAGGCTAATAGCACCTTATTGCTGCAGTGTGTGCTAACAGGTAGGGCCCAGGAAGCTTATTCTGCTTTAACAGTGGCGGACAGCAAAGTGTATCTGAGGGTTAAAACTGCGGTGTTGAAGGCTTACGAGTTGGTCCCTGAGGCTTATCGACAGAGGTTTCGGTCCTGGGAGATGTCTGACAAGCAGACACATGTTGAGTTTGCCAGGGATCTGGTTACCTCTTTCGGTAGGTGGTGTAACTCCTTGAAAGTGGATATGTATGTCGCATTATGTGAGTTGATGGTGTTGGAGCAATTTAAAAATTCTGTGCCCAGCCACATTGCGGTTTACATCAGCGAGCGTAAAGTGACAACTGCTGCAGAGGCTGCTGCTCTGGCAGATGATTATGTGCTAACGCACAGGGGCGGTCGCAACTTCAGGGTCCAGGATGGAGCTGGTATGTATCGTGCAGGGAGATGGGAAGAGAAAGCTAATCCGCACTGGGTTGAGCATGAGATGCGAGGTCAGCCACAGGGTGATTCAGAAATCTGTCATTTCTGCAGGGAGAGAGGTCACTGGAAGGCTGACTGTCCGAAAGCTAAGGCAAAAAAGGGGAACTGTGTAGGCCAGTTTAACTCTGCTGCTTGTGCTGTGTCTGTGGTGCCGTTACCTGTCATCTCTCCCTGTCAGCAGATTAATGAGCCATGTGGGTGAAAGGACCCACTGTTTTCTGCATTTGTGTCAACCGGATACGTGTCATTGGTGGGAAGTGATATCAACGTGCCGGTAAAGATTTTGAGAGACACTGCATCGTATGATTCCTACATTCTGAGCTCTGTGTTACCGTTTTCGGACAAATCTGGAACTGGGGATTTTGTCCGGATGCGAGGGATGGGAATGAGTGTTGTGCCTGTTCCGTTGCATTCTGTTGTGCTTAACTCTGGTCTGGTGCAGGGTGAGGTCGCCATGGGGGTCCGTCCTGTAATGCCTATCGGTGGTGTGGATGTTATCCTGGGTAACGGCCTGGCTGGCAGCCGTGTGTGGGCTGAGGGTCCACCGACTACCATGCAGTCATCTTCACCTACTGTGATCGTTAAGGCAGAGGAGAATGCCAAGTGCTCTCCTGCAGTGTTTGTGGCTTGTTCTGGGACACGGGCTGTGAGCCGTGCACAGGAGGAATCTGAGCAGGGTGAAGAGGTCAGTGAGATAGATTCTGTGGTTATTCCTAACTTGTTGTTATTGGCATCCCGCAGTGAGTTGGTGATAGAGCAGAAAGCGGATGTCTCCCTCAGTCCGGTTTTTGAGGCGGTTCTCTCCACCGGGGATGGAAATTGTGTCACCAGGGGTTGTCAGCTGCAAGGGGGATTGCTGGTCAGAAAGTGGTGGGCACGTGGGAAAGGCTTTATTGGTGGGCCAGGGTATCAGATTGTGGTTCCTGTCAGGTTTCGCGGGGAGGTCCTCAGAAAAGCGCATGGGCAGTCGGGACATCTGGGTGTCCGTAGAACATGTTGCAGTATTTCTTTTGGCCTGGGTTGAGGAGAGATGTGTCTCGGCATGTTAGATCATGTCACGCGTGTCAGACGGGTGGGCCTGTTCGGCAGCGACCTGGGGGCCAGGTCTTGGGTTTGTTGCCGGGGGCTAGGTTGCGGTCTCTGGAGGGACATTCCGGGTTCTTCCAGGTGCTTGGTCAAGGGACTGGCCAGAGTGGTCTTCTGTCCACGCCAAAATATCGGAGAAGAGCTCCTAGCTATTTAGGTAGTTAACGGTGTTCTAGTGGAACTCCTTTCTTATGGGGGGGGAGTGTGACGACCCCTCCACATCACGTGGGGTGCCGTGTGTTTGTGTGTGTGTGTGGTTTTGTTCAGGTTGTTTCAGGTGCTGATGAGCCGCACCTGTGGGCGGATGCCTATCGGATGAGCTACACCTGGTGGAGCGGGATAAAGGAGGAGCCCAGCCGGTTGCGTTGCTCTCACTCCTCTGGGCACTTTCTCGGTGCCAGCCTCGGGGACCTGTGGATGGTTCTGTCATTATATTGTTTATAAGAGAATAAACACTGGTTATTTTCTTACCCTTCGTCTCGCCTCCCTGCTTTTTGTTGCAGCCCAGGAGCCGGGTTGTAACAATTTGCACACACACACATACTGTATGCAAGCAACACAATTGAAATGCTGATCTCTGAAGACAAGAGGAATGGGAAATGTGCCAAAGCTTTCAACTCTGCACAATTCAAGGGAAATACTCTGCAACAGTGTGTCCAATGAGGTTTTCGGCTGACATTTTTTAAGTCCCAGCATTTCTGATAATAACAAACTTTCTAATGATGAATGGACACACTGAATCTGTCAATACTGAATACACGATGAGGTTAGTAGGAGGTGGACCTTTGCAGAACAGCAGGAAATGTGGCTCCAGTGTTTCTTAGCAGGAAGGTCGGGTCCCCTTAGGTAACAAAAGCCCCCTGACAAGTAATACATGTAGAGAGCAAACGAAAAAACCTCTCAAAGGTCATTTCATGTCCAAGGTAAGAGAAGGCAAGGAAAGTTTGTTGTTACAGCAACTTTCAACAACAGGCAAGAGCTTTACTTGGGACATAAATGATAATAATGATAATCAAGGGAGGTACAAAAAAAAACATTCATGAAAATGAAAAAAGTTTCCAGCTTTAGCTGTGTTTCTCGTTTTATTTAGTTATCAGTAGCGTGGCTCAGCCTAACTATATTGTTGTTATTTACTGCTTCTAGTACTAGACTCCTAGCACTATGATGGGTTAGATGCAGAGAACAATCTTCACTGTGTGTGCTGTGTGCTCTGCATGTGTGGCCATTAAAGAGGGTTTCATCCATCCCAATATTATATTATTGCGAGTGTGCAGCCGTTTGGCTGACACGTTTAAGTACCGGCCACGGTTACTACTGTAACTACAGTTCTATGCCGTGCTGTTCTATTCTTTAGAAGCTAATTGTCTGGTCTTAACATTTGTGTTATTTGACTTGGACTTGCTTGATTGTTAGCAGCAGCCGCTTGGCTAACACCTTGCATGTACTGTAAAGCTTCATTATGTAACTCAGCTGGTGAAGGCAGCGCGCTCGCTCCCGCTCCCGGTAACGTATTGTTTTGATTGTTAGCAGCAGCAGCTTGGCTAACATCTTGCATGTTCTGTTGAGCTTCATTGTTTAACTCGGCTGGTGAAGGCAGTGCTCACATGGGTCACAGGTGACTTATACCTCATTCACACCAACGCAACTCCGGTTTAAGCTCCGTGCTAGAGCTTTTCAGGTTCAGAACCGGTTCTTCGGTTTAGCTCCGGCTCTTTTCACACCGCCCAGAGTCCGACTGGTGCTGCGTCATTGCGTCATCGTTTGCGTCATGACGTAACCGTTTGCGTGCCTGCTTCACAAAACCAAACAGCGCGGAAACCCCTCACAGCTCACACCGACAACAACAACAACAACAATGGCCGATTGTGCTCCAATCCTCTGTACCTCCTCGGAAGACCAGATTCCCAGTAGGTAACTGGTCTCTTGAGTGGACCACTGCTGCTTGTTAAGTTTCTCCATCGTTGTGTACAAACTGGATAAAACGCCGGCTTTTGTTGTTGTTCAGGAGTTGATAGAACCGTAGTTACAGACGTAACTATCGTTATAGCTACTATTTTAGCTTTGCACGGGCCAAACTGCATTAACTACATTGTGAAGTTTTTTCTGGTAGAAAAGCCCTGGTGAGGAGCTGAGGAAGTCCCACACAGTGTTTCTATGACAACGATATGTCAACAACGTATTACCGATGTTGTATGACAAACTGGCATTGATGTATCACCTGTTGATGCTACTGTACATTTTATTACATTGTCTTTCACTATAAGCACCAACCAGAAGATTCCTGCTATCACACTTTGTATAAATGAGGTCAGACAGACATATAGCATGGGAGGAAGACGATATAAGTCTCACACTCATCGGCACTAACATCCGGTGTCTACCCGTCCCAATTACTTAAAAAATAATCTATGTTCGGCCTGTGTTATGATTTTCATCAGACGGACAGTGCCAAATCATTGAATCAATTTTTCAAGCAATTTCAGTAACTTCACTCGCTTGAACTAGAAGCACTCCAATGCCATGCGCTCGGTTTTCTTTGGAATCAATGAAAAAAAGAACGCTGCAGCTCAGAAAAAGCACTATGTGGAGGTTGGTGACATCTTCTTGTATAGCTTCTTTTTTTTTTAAAACGTCTGTGTGAATTGTTCATAAAAGCTGATAGATTGTGTAGCAGGTCCCTTTCAACCTACGTCTCTAAAGCTGATGATGGCCATTCAATCGGTTGATAACATTAAAAAATGGTGGTTGTTCTTTTTTATGCTTTTTAATCAAGTTTTCAGGGCCTGTGGGAAGTTGCATGGGAGCAAAGAAGTTGAGTGTTTGCAGGATAACCGCAAACATCAACCAATGTTTTATAATAGAATCAAATTATGTTATGTACATTTAATTGTTTTTTAGGTATATGCAAGAAGCATTTAGACATACTTTTAATTGTTAAGCTTTCTGAATTTGCATTCATTGCATGGCGCAAGGGGTTAGAAGTTCAAGGGATAAATACAAAGTAAGGTTTGACAGCCTGTCAACAGCAGCATATCATTATTGTTTGTGGTGACGCAGTACAAGGACTGCCTTGCCATTTTTAGAGAAAAAACATAAATTCAAAGGCTCTCTTTATACAGGTTTTTATGCACCTGGAAACGTTTTTGTCTATCCACCTGCATTCAGCTTTTCAAAACTCTTTATTTTGTTCATGTTGACCAGCGTAGCAATTCTCCTTGGTGCTTCTTTTGTCTTACAACGGTATTTTTCCACAGGCCCTGAAAACTGCAGTCATTAAACCGCTCTTAAAAAAGAATAATCTAGATGCTTCAGTAATGAACAATTACAGGCCCATATCAAACCTCCCATTTCTAGGTAAAATCATTGAAAAAGTTGTTTTTCAACAGTTGAGTAATTTCTTGCATTTAAATAACTGTTTCGATGTGTTCCAGTCAGGCTTTCGTCCAAACCACAGCACTGAGACTGCTCTTGTAAAGGTCTTTAATGACATCCACTTAAACACAGACAGTGGCAGAACTTCAGTGTTAGTATTATTAGATCTCAGTGCTGCGTTTGACACTGTTGACCACAACATATTACTAGACCGACTGGAAAACTGGGTGGGACTTTCGGAAACAGTTCTAAATTGGTTTGAATCCTACTTAAAGGACAGAAACAACTTTGTTTCTATAGGTAAATACACATCTGAGTTGACAAATATGACATGTGGGGTTCCTCAAGGCTCCATCTTGGGGCCTCTTCTCTTTAACATCTACATGCTACCACTGGCTCAGATAATGAAGAACAACAAAATAAGTTACCATAGCTATGCAGATGACGCACACATTTACATAACAATTTCACCAGGAGACTATGCTCCAATTCAAACACTGAGTAAGTGCATTGAACAAATCAATGACTGGATGTGTCAGAACTTTCTCCAATTAAACAAAGATAAAACTGAGGTAATGGTTTTTGGAGCCAAGTCAGAACGTATAAAAGTTAGCGCTGAGCTTCAGTCTGCAATGTTCAAAACAACAGATAAAGCCAGAAATCTAGGTGTAGTCATGGTCTCTGACCTGAGTTTCAACAGTCACATTAAAACAGTTACTAAATCAGCCTACTATCACCTAAAGAATATATCTAGGATTAAAAGACTAATGTCACAGCAGGATTTGGAAAAACTTGTCCATGCTTTTATCTTCAGTAGACTCGACTACTGCAATGGTGTCTTCACAGATCTCACTAAAAAATCTATTAGGAAGCTGCAGCTGATTCAGAACGCCGCTGCTCGAGTCCTCACTAACACTAAGAAAGTGGATCACATCACTCCTGTTCTGAAGTCTTTACACTGGCTTCCTGTGTGTCAAAGAATAGATTTCAAAATACTGCTGCTGGTTTATAAAGCACTGAATGGTTTAGGCCCAAAATACATTTCTGACCTCCTGTTAAATTATGAACCATCCAGATCTCTCAGGTCTTCAGGGACTGGTCAGCTTTCTGTCCCCAGAGTCAGAACTAAACATGGAGAAGCAGCGTTCAGTTATTATGCTCCAAATATCTGGAACAAACTCCCAGAAACCTGCAGGTCCGCTGCAACTCTGACTACTTTTAAATCCAGACTGAAGACTTTTCTTTTTGTCGCTGCTTTTAATTGAACTATTCATATCTTAGACTGCACTGTAACTTTTATCCATGTATTTTTTCTTTTAATGTTTATTTGATTAGCTTTTCTTTTTAATGACTGATTTTAAATGCCATTTTCTTAATGTCTTTCATTTTTTGTAAAGCACTTTGAATTGCCTTGTGTTGAAAAGTGCTATATAAATAAACTTGCCTTGCCTTGCCTTACCTGTACTTTAGTGTGGAAAATGACATTGAACTAAAATTCCAAGACCCAAGACGAGGCAGATGTCTGAATGAATAATTGACTCATGTTATTGTTGATGTACCATTTTCTAAAGATTTTAGTGCTCGGAGATAGTCGTCTAAAAAAAACAAGGGAATGAGGAAATTAACATAATTTGTCACCACATCTTCAGATGAGGAAGATGTTATCATCCCCTTGGAGAAGATGAAGTCCAGTATTGTGCATGTGCTCCATCACGTGATATGTCATTCATTAGTTCTTTAATAATGCTGTATTTGGGGTTATCACCATGAATGTCAATCACTGAATTGGTAGAAAGTCAATGCTATGATAGAAAGCTATTTCATTAAAGTCATTAGTAAATCCTAAACAATACTGAATCCATTCATAAAATGTAAGTTGTTATACTTGAGTGTGTTTAGCTTTCTCTCCTCTATTGCAATCATGCCACTTGTCCATTAAAAAAGTATTTTATTGCTGTAATTATTTCTAATTTCCATACTATGGTCATGAACTGTTCCAATATTGCTGCTTACACAGTTCGAAATTGGGGATGAAATCCACAGTCCTCGTTGTTTGCAAGTTCAGCCATTTCTAATATGAGTCTCCTGCCATCTGATGTAAACAAACTGACTAAAAGTTGGTCTTTTTAGTTTCCTATTTATGTTTCCCATGATGGTGTTTGCTCCCTGAGCCACGGTGGGGAAATCAATCCGTTTATATGCATAGCTGGTACAAAACACCAGCAATAAATATACACAAATCTACCAGAACAAAGATACCAACTTCATTTAATTAACACACTACTGAAGCCTCAAATTAGCTCTGGCCGAACTAAATGTATTACTACTGCATAAACGACACATACATGTACCAGTAGCACACCTGTGAGAGTGTGAGACCGTTTATGTCGAAGTGTTTTAAATAGTAAGGTTTTAGTGAAAATGCGTGTGTTCGGAAATAATGATAC